GGCTGTGGTTGATCGCTGTCCAACTCTCTTTCAATTCTGGTTCTCGCGTCCACCTCCCTCCTCAATCTGTGAAGTGTTCGATCAATTTCGGGATCGAGAGGAAGGAAATTGTTTGCGCTTCTACTTCTTCGCATTCAATAGAAACTCCTGTATTAGCACAAACAAAGTGAACTAAAAGTTAAAACTCGAATAAATAAGTATTAAAAGCTCAATTTAGTCAAGTAGCTAATTTCTAAGTCCCCGGCAACGGCGCCAATAACTTGTTGCGACCAAAATACTCACGCAAGTACACGTGATCGTCAAGTAATAGAGTAGTGAGTAGAGTATCATTCCCACGAAGACATATGATTAACTGTTGACTGATTCAAACCCAATTTCTTTATCTACCCAAGAGATTGTTCACTAAAGAGAGATGTAATTATTTTACTACTTAAACTATAAAGAATTAATCTAACTAACGCAAGTACCCAAACGAATAGCAATTACGAGTAACAAACAGTATGAGAAGATATTCCAGGGTCACGGGCATAGTCAACAATCGTGTTGTGTTCTTGGCTCAAAATGACTAATCAATTTATCTGGGTTATTGATTGACAGGGTTGATATTACTCATAAGAATCTGTCGAGTTCTTACTCGCCTATTCAAGTCAAGTCAACGCCTATATGTCTATGGTATTAAAATTAACAAGAACGCATTTACAATTCCTGTATTTCAACCAAGCAAGGCAATTGGGTATATGTCTATCCCAATTGCAAATCCGTTCCCCGAGGCCCGGGTTCAAGAACTTGCTCTATTTAATTCTATATGCAATCTAAAGTTACCACTTTCGAGTTCAACTAAAGATTCGTAGATAGTATTTCATTGTTAGCTACTCAGCAAAATAATTAACCGCAGAAAATAAACAACCCAATATGATAAACCAACTTTGTAGAATTAAACTTCAAACAACAACATTCATGTTTCACCCATGATCCCAGAACAATGGGTTTTAGCCACTCATACTAGTGTTCATCATAAATAAGTTCAATTTCATCACAAAACAGCAAAAACAAGAGAAGAAAAGAAGAACTTGATGGTCAAAACTCCTCCTTGCCTCTCTATTTCCTCCACTAAACTATGAAAAACTTCCTTTCTTTAACCTTGGGCGAGCTTGACTTTATATAGGTGAAGTGGGTTTCCCTCTAGATTTCCAATTTTACCCCTAAATAACGTTTTTCCGGACCAGACACGCGCGAGCTCGCGCATAACTTCGCGCGTTTATTCGCGCATGATTCTTCCTTGGCCTTTCTTACGCGCGAACTACTACGCGACTTCGCGCGTTTCTTTGTGCACCTGGAGCTTGATTTCGTCCATTTTTTCGTCTCGTCCTTGCGCGCACTCGACTCCGAGGGGTTGTTCTTGCTCATAAATCATTCCAATTTCCTCTTGAAAGCATCATATAGGCTCCTCATCCTGCAATGTATACATATCACAATTAGAGCCTATTTTTCATCAATTAACCATAATATGTCATTGGAATATAATCAAGCGGAAGCATAAACAATAGCTAAATCACCTAGATTTCACCTATTGTCAATAATAATCAAAATAAGCCTCCCAAAACAGTTCACTTACCAACAACATTATTAACAAGCCTTTTGATAGATATCTCAGAAGTTCTAGCTTCAACGACTTAGCCGTAACTTGGATAATCTTAAATACATGTAGAGTAAGAGGTTACTTAACTTTAAACAGATAGAAAAACTCCAATTTGACCGTACTTCACCATGAAATATCCTTCCAATGATGCCACATGAACAAGGAAGCGAAACTAGCAATCAATTCGGGTTTTTCAGCATTAGAATCACTTTGGAAGACTTGAAATTACCTAGGGTTGACATTAAAAACTTGAGAGAGTATTTTACAGAACTTATACCACTTAAAACACCTTCCACGTGAGCTGGAACCACACAAAAATCAGCAACAAGAAGAAGAACAATAAACTTACTAGCGCCACAGGATTCTCGACACTTGATTTGTGTTGTTTTCCCTTTGTTTGGGTCTTGGATCATGAGAGAATATTGAGAGAGAGGTTTTAGGTATCTAGGGCCTGAAGAGAGTGAAATATAATGAGTTAAAATGGGCTTAAGGTGTCTCATATATCTCAACCGCCTATGTGGGTCCCATAGAGAGGTGCTTGCGCAGTCTCGCAAAAATACGAATATCTCTCTACTCTGATGTTGTATCGATGAACGATTTAATGTTTTGGAAACTAGACTCATAGATATTCAATTTGGTGGGTAGATCACCCCGTAATTCCAAGTAAGCTAGGAGAAAAACTTAGTAACATTTGACCTAAAGTTTAAGTAAAATTATGAACGTAAGTTGCGACAACTTTTGTTGACTTTTGTTTCATAACTCGTTTGACTTCAATACTTATGATACGGATATTATATGATTAAAATACCTTAAAACACAATCTCCTGAGAGTATTAAGCTACTCTAATTTTACTCGAAAATATGGGTTACAACATCCTTGATTCGTTTAACTTCTAATATTTGTTAACCACTCTTATACACCATTGTATCGTTTAAAACCAATAGGATTAACTTCTTATCATCTCAAAGATAATCTCTTCTTGGACTTACATCGACTAACTTACGCGTGATCTAACGTACGCGAACATGGGTTGTAACATTCAGAGGGAGCCATTTCATTCAACAACAAAGATGTCGAGGGCATCGCACAATCTCACAATGACGCACTGGTAATATAGTTACTTACCAATAAATCTCGGATTAAACTTATGTTGATTAATCCAGGTAGCTCTACCAACATCATCAGATAAAGGGTCGTAGAGCAATTAGGGTTATAGGATCAAATCATACCAATAGTCCGGGTATTGAACGGATTCAACATGGCATGCGAGACCACGAAAGGAGCGATAAATTTGCTCGTAAACACTACCGGAACAATCCAAGAAATGAAGTCCTACATGATCGAATAGGATATGAGATACAACGCTCTGTTCGAAAGGCCATGGGTCCACAACATGAGAGAGGTACCTTCGACCTTGCACTAGGCGCTAAAATTTCCCACACCAGAGGGAGTTAAAACGATTTACGGAGGACAGCTGACTGCAAGGGAAATATTTGTTGTCGACAAAATGATCCTGGAGCTCATGATTTCAACATCGAGGAGCAAGAAACCGACCAAATAAGAAGAGATTAAATAGCAATCACTGATACCGGTCTTAGCCGAATCGGAGAAACAAGAAGAACAAGGAGTAGAAGATGAGGACGATTACGACATCCCGAGGTCATTCATAGCTCCTTATGACACCGAGTCACCAAATCAATGGTTGAAGAGTTGGAGCAAGTCATATTAATCGAGCAGCTACTGGATTGAAAGGTATACCTGGCACGTGGTTAACCCTCGAGCTCACGAGAAAACTTATTGATTTTCTTAATGCTAATGTCGATTGTTTTGCTTGGTCCCATCTTCACATGACAGGGATCCAACCGGAGGTAACCACTCACAAGCTGAGTTTGGACCCGAAGTTCCATCTGGTTCGACAGAAGAAGAGACCACAGTCCGAGGTCAAACACGCGTTCGTCAAGGATAAGCTATCCAAACTTCTAAAAATAGGATCCATCCGGGAAGTTAAATACCCGGATTGGTTAGCTAACATAGTGGTAGTACCTAAAAAGGGAAATAAATAAGGATGTGTGTGGATTATAAAGATTTAAATAAAGCATGCCCAAAGGACTATTTTTCTTTGCCTAACATCGATCGAATAATCGACGTGACGGCCGGACACGAGATACTTAGTTTTCTCGAAGCTTACTTTGGTGAAACCAAATTTGAATGGACCCGAACTACCAAGAAAAGACTTCTTTCATAACAAAGTTCGGCACCTACTGCTATAATGTAATGTCGTTTAGATTAAAGAACGCCAGTGCCACATACCAATGCCTAGTAAATCGGATGTTCGAAGAACAAATAGAAACATTAATGGAAGTTTATATTGATGATATGTTGGTCAAGTCCCTGCGAGTAGCTGACCATTTGAAATATTTGCAGGAAACCTTCAACATACTAAGGGAATACAACATGAAGCTAAATTCGAAAAAGTGCCCATTTGGGTTTGGATCGGGTAAATTCCTCTGGTTCATGGTATCTAACTGAGTGATAGAGATCAACCCCAAAAAAATAATATCAATAGAGGATATCACCGTAGTGGACAACATCAAGGCGGTCCAAAGACTGACTGACGTATAGCCACATTGGGCCGATTCATCTCAAGGTCGTTAGACAAGAGCCATCAGTTCTTCTCACTATTGAAAAAGAAGAACAATTTTTCATGGACTCCAGAATGTCGGCAAGCTTTGGATAAACTCAAACAATACCTATCGAGCTTCCCCTCTACTGCACACTCCGAAGGCAGACGAACAATTATACCTGTACTTGGCAATTTTTGAGGTGGCGGTAAGCGACGTCTTAGTCCGGGAGGAAGAAGGTATGCAATTTCCTATTTACTATGTTAGTATAACCCTAGGCGATGTCGAATCAAGGTATCCTCACCTAGAAAATTTAGCACTCACTTTGCTAAGCGATTTCAGGAAACTAAAATCGTACTTTCAATGCCACCACATATGTGTCGTAACCTCTTACCCACTGAGGAATATCATGCATAAGCCCAATATCTCGGGTCGGTTGTCTAAATGGAGCGTGGAGATTAGCGGGTACGATATCAAGTATCGACCCCGAATGACCATAAAATCTCAGATTTTGGCACACTTCGTGGCTGACTTTACGCCGACCTTAATACCCGAAGTCGAAAAGGAGTTACTGCTCACCTCGAGGGCTAATTCCTAAATATAGACCCTATTCATGGACGGTGCCTCCAAAGCTAAGTGGTCTGGGCTCGGTATCGTGTTAAAACCACATGTGGGGGGCATAATTAGGTAGTCTATTAGAATTGTAAAATTGACTAACAATGAAACCGAATATGAGGCCATGATTACAGGTCTAGAACTGGTTAAGAACCTCGGGGACGAAGTGATCGAAGCCAAATGTGACTCTCTCCTTGATGTAAATCAAGTTAATGAAACATTCAAAGTAAAGGAAGAGCAGATGCGAAGGTACTTGGACAAATTGTCGGTGACCCTGCACCAATTCAAGGAATGGACTTTGCAGCATGTACCTCGAGATCAAAATAGTGAGGCTGATGCACTGGCCAACTTGGGGTAGTGTATCGACTCCGATGAATCTGTTCGGGGGCAGTGGTACAACTGATGAATTTGGTGGTACAATAAGTCATGCCAAAGTAAACTCGACAAGTTTGACTTGGGATTGGAGGAACAGATACATAGACTACTTGAGGATAGGAAAATTGCCTTCGGATCCCAAGGAATCGAGAGCCCTGCATACTAAGGCTGCCAGATTTAGCTTAATCGAAGGGGCATTATTCAGGATATCCTTCTTCGGCCCACTGGCAAGATGTTTAAGGCCGGGAAAGACCGAATACGCCATGAGAGAAGCTCACAAGGGCACTTACGGGAATCATTTGGGGGCAAGATCCTTAGTTTGAAAGCTAATCCGAGCCAGCTACTACTGAATGAGATAGGAAAGGATGCAAAAGACTTCGTGCATAATTGTAACGAGTGCCAAAGACATGCCCCGATGATTCATCAACCGGGAGAAATGCTCTACCGGTCCTGTCCCATGGTCATTTATGAAATGGGAAATGGCATTGTATGTACCCTATTATGGGCCCCCGGTAAAGTTCAATTCATACTATTAATGGCCGATTATTTTTCCAAATGGGTTGAGGCTTAGGCGTTCAAGAAGGTTCAAGATAAAGAAGTCATCGACTTCATCTGGGATCACATAATTTGTCGATTTGGGATACCACCCGAGATCATTTGCAACAACGGAAAATAATTTGTCAACAGTAAGGTAAGTAAATTTTTTGAAGATCACAAAATCAAGAAGATATTTTCAGTGCCTTACCACCTTCGTGGGAACGAGCAAGTGGAATTGACGAACAAAATTATACTCCAAAAGCTAAAAAAAAAGGTTGACCGATTCGAAAGAAAAGTGGAAGGAAATCTTGCCCGAAGTCTTGTGGGCATACCGTACTACTTTCAAGTCAAGTACCTGGGCGACTCTGTTCTCTCTGGTCTACGGAGCGAAAGCCTTAATACTAGTGGAAGTAGGGAATCGAGTCTCAAGTTCCAGTATGCTATCGAATAGTCAAGCGGGGAGGCCATGACCACGAGCCTAGAATTATTTGATAAAAGACGGGAGGCCGCCTTGGTCCGGTTGTCCGCTAAGAAGTAACAAATAGGGAGATACTACAAATAAAGTACCAGCCTCTGGCATTTTCAAGTCAGGGACTTGGTGTTGAAGAAGGTTACACTACACACCAGGAACCCAAACAAAGGGAAACTGGGCTCGAATTGGGAAGGACCGTATTGAGTCATCGGAATAAGTGACAAAGGCTCATATAAACTCGAATCGAGACCAAGCAACTACAACATGGAACACTTAAAGTGGTACTGCTGCTAAAGTACAAACTTAATTCCTTTTTAATTTAGCTACTTTGCGGACTAAAGTATGCAAGTACTCGGCCAAGGGAGAATATGATTATTAGGTCTGAAAGCACGTGTTGTACTCTTTTTCCCTTGAACCAGTTTTGACCCGAAGCAGGTTTTTTGGCAAATTTATTAATGAGGTAATAGTAAAAAGTGCTATCTTAGTTTTGAAGACCGGACTTAAACCGGAATTGATGATCATTTGCACCGGATCAACAGTATCTGATCCCTCACAAAGTTCGGCCTCAAATACCAGGGGCCATCACCCCTAGGTTAGGATTCCTAGAAAGGAAAAAATTTTATATTTCAAAAGCCAAGGCTTGGTGATTAGAATTCATTTGTAAGGGCCAAATGATCATATGAAATGTTCCCATGTAGCCCACTCTAGCCACGGTACAAGGTCTATGAACCTCCAATCATGTACCCAACATATAAAGTAATGAAAGAAATCTTTTCTTCCCTTATACTTTATTACTGCGCATTTTACTTCTTCGATCCTAGATCCCAAAGCCCACGAGCTACCCCTACTTTGGGGACTGTCGTCCGATAAAATATTTAGATGACTCGGGCTATTGAATCCCGTAGGGACCAAAGTCTATTTAGGTAGTGCCCAAATACGAAAGGTTACGACGATCAGAAAAATGGCTTGGAGACGTCTGATGTTCGTACCTAAGGCCCTTCCATATAATCAAAACCTACTAAAATATTACCCTCAGCAAAAACATCGTCGTATATGACTAAAACACATAAGTGTCTTTGAGGCCTCTAGTTTTATTGAAGACTCGAAGCCACGAGTAATCTTGAGTTGCTATCGAAATTGAGGCTTATTCGGGCCTCCGAATAACGGAAACTATAGACTACATTTGACTTTATGCTAAGGCATTAAAAATGATACGTGAATACAAAAATTGCGAATAGATGCTGAAAGGTAAAACTACGGGGTTTCCAAAAGAGGAAGTTTTACATATTCCAAAAAATATTTACAAATTAAAGGAACGGTAATACGGCCTCGAAATAAACAAAAAGAAAATATACAAGGAACTAAGGCATCTACACCTAGTCCTCATCGGGGCTCGACTCGTCACTAGAACCCTCGGAACCTTCGGGACCCACAGGCTCATAGAGTTCCTTTACTTTGACCTCGAGTTTTTTGGCTTCTTCGATATCGGTCAACAGGTCGAAACCTTGAGCGTGAATCTCCTCGATGGTCTCTCTCCAGGATAACCGCTTCACATATTCGGTCTTCGTCTTTAAGCGGGCCTCGGCTACCTCTACATCAGCCTTATACTGGGCTAGCATTTCCTTAACCTCGAAGGAATCAATCGAAGTTGCCTCCAATATAGACCTCAGCGTAGTATATTCTTGGCCGAGAGCATCCCATTCCTTAATGGTTGATTTAAGCTGTGTCCGAAGTTTATCATTTATCCGAGACCACTTGTCGGCCTTGTCCTTTGCCACTCGGAGTTGGTCCTTGACCGATGCCAGCTCCTCTTTTATGTCCTCTTTCTCCGAAATCAGTAGATCCATCATGCCCTTCCACGCCTCGGTCGTGGCCTTGACCTCGTCCATATCATCCCGAAGCTGGACGATCAAATCAAACTTCTCTTGGACCTGTGAGGTTGCATTGTTAGTCATCAAGAGTATCTTCTCGTTTTTAGCCTCAAAATCATTACTTTCTTGACCAGATCGGCGTGCTCCCGTTTCACCGACGAGGCCTCCTTCTAAGCCTTTTCCAGCTTGGCCCGGAGAGTTGGGAGATCCTTAAGAGCCTCATCTTGTTCTCACTAAGAGCCATGTATATCTACTTCTTCCGGATCTGCTCTTTGGGCTCAAACTCGAGCTGACTAATTTCCAAACGAGACCGAAGGAAGCTTTCATGGTGAAGTACCGAAACCTAAAAAACAATGAGGCCAATAGAATATGTTGAGAAAAATATATGAAAGATACAAAGGATAAACGTTTTACCCAATTCAGGGACTACCCCGAAGATAATGACCTCGAGTTTATTATTTATGAATCAACCATCGATGAAGAAGAGCAGGAGACAACCGGGAAAGGTAACTAAAAGGATGATCCTCCTCTAGCTTAGCGACCAGAGAAGAGTCATTGGCATCACGAAGATGCCGTCCTATACTAAGTCCATGCTCGACGAGGATCAAGTCTATAAAGAGAAATCAAACGAAATGGAATTGGTCACAGTTGACGCCCTTAACATGTTCTTCGATGGCATGGACATGGCCGCGTTGGAGGACTTCTCCGGGCTTGGTCACCTAGAGGTCCCAAAAAAGGATGTGCCATCGGGAACGGGCAAGCCTCGAGCTTGAAACTAATAAAGAACTTCCCCACTCCGAGTGTGGACCCTGACTGTAAGAAAAGTCTTACTATCCTAGCAGAAGCTCGGGCACTAACCACTCCGGTAAACGTGGCCACTACCTTCGTTGCCTGTGACCAAGGAGGATCAGGCAGAGATGAACGAGGTAGGCACGTCGAGCCTCTTCAACGAGGTGCAACAGGCACCGACATTGGACAAGGTAAAGCGATGCGCCCCAGGCCGAATATAAGTTCTAGACATCGGGAGACACGATGAACGGTTATACATGGCGGATATAGGACAGTAATACTCGCCCTCAATCGGATATCACGACGAAGATCTCGCTCGATGTCGATTATGGATAAAACATTTCCGAAAAAGGAAGATTCTTACCTTTTTTAGACTTATACTAGGACTGAAACTCTCATATTATATAAATGGAAAGTTTTTCTTTAGTCTGACACATTGTAACACGCAATTTAAGGCAATAAAAATTTGTTTTTGTTCTCTAGCTACTGTGAATGTTTTATTCACTTGTTCTGTTCTTTATTCGCGGTTGGGCTTAAACCGAGGGTACAATCGAGGACGAGCTCATTATTCAATCTAAGATCAAGTCCTAATCTTAACATTATGAGTGGTTTGATCTTTAATTCATTTATCTATTATTTTTCATTATTTGTGTTGAATTAAATCACATATTCTTTAAACCGCATACAAATTTAATTGTTGCCCAATTTTGAGGTAAACAAGTTCATTTGCTTCAGCCTTATGGGTGAAGTTTTCTCGACACATTTGCTTCTGAACCATAACTAGTTATTTGGTGGAGTAAATAGGGGTATTATCATTTTTAGCCCGCACCAGAAACTATTTATATTTGTTAGCCGAAAAAGTATATAAAATTTGTATAATTTTGTATATAACATATAGAATGTGTATATATACAAAAAATATATAAATTTTATACATTTTTTCGACTATTATTTTTACATCGACTATACAGTATTATTTTTCCGAGTAAATATGCATTCAAATTGGTCTAAAAATCACCGTTATTAAAAAAGAAACAGCAAACCAAATAAACAAAGGTTTGGCCTATTTCACATCAAGAATCATCACTTGGCCTATCACTGATTAAAATCCAGCCAAGCCAATGATAGTGAAACCTTTAAACGTATGTGACATCTCAATCATCAACAACTTAAAGAATCTCAGTCCTTTGAGAAAAATCACTTTTGGATAGGCACGCATGCTTTTCTTGGCTTGATCGATCCTAGGAAAAAGAAATTATTAAATAAATTAAAGAAAATTAAACAAAGGTTTGGTCTATTTCACATCAAAAAGGTTATATAATCATTTGTATGGCTATATAACGCTTGTAGTGATCCTACAACTATAAGTGCAAACTGATGCACTGACTTTTCTAATCCTTATTTTTTTTAATATATAATGAAACTATATAACATGAATGTACTTGGTAAAGGACTTATGCCCAAGGTAAGCATATCTATTCTATACAAAAAGAACTGTCACTATCTCGTATTTTATGAAGGATATTGTGCATGAAACCAAGTGAACCAAAAAGCAATTTATCAATTTTATAACCAACTCTATAAAATTAGAATTTATGTTTGCTTTACATTGATATTTTTCACTTTGTAAGCAATATAAGCTAAGACAAGAAGG